CGGAAGGATTTGCGTCTAACACGGCAAAATAAAAAACAAGAATGATTCCTACTTCTTTGTGATTAAAATGACTGGCACACTGCAGAGACTGTCTGCCACTGCCATCTCTGCCAGCTCTCCCTAAAACGTGCTCGGCTGCCTCAACCCACAAATGTGTTAGCAGACAAGAAACCTTTTGCTACCCAGTGACTAATGTCCCCCATTCTGTTCAGCTGCTGAAGTGACTGGTTCTGTTTGAGCTATTGCAGGCACCCGGTTGCTCTGGGGTGAAAAGGAGAGCCCAGACTGCTGCTTCCTGCCGAGGAACTGGTGAGGGAACAGAAATGGGAGACCAAGCTCGCCATCTCCTGGGGAAAAGGCATCTGCGCTCCCAGGGAAGTTTCTTTCATTCATTCCTTCCTTTCGTTCTCACTCTTACTTCTTTATGAAAGACCAAGGTGGGAGGAGGTTTAGGCAGCTTGCCGGCTTGCAGTGCCAGCTCTGACCCTGCTGTGGTCCCTCTTCTTCCTGTGATACTCAGTAACTAAGACGACAGTGAATTTATATCACAGCGTGCACTGTGGGTATATTTGTTATCTACTCCATATGTACTTCAGCAGCAGCGATGTCAGTGGCAAAACTCATACGCATTAATAATCCCAGGAAAGAGGTTTACAGAGTGTTGAGCAGATGCAGGAACAGTCAGGTTCTTATGTATTTAAAATGGCAAGGACTGTTCAGTGACTGCCACACGTGCCTGGTGGAGTACAGGGATGTTATGAAAGCGATAGCAGGGGATCTAGATACTGACTAGTCACAGTATAACATCATCTTCATAGGTAGTTATATGTCACTTCAAAAACTGATGTTTACAGCGAGGCTTCTAGGGATACCTATGGATTTTCGAGTGTAACTAAAAAATTCAGGACCTCTTGCACATTCTGATCAGGCTTGCCACAGAAGTCCCGCTGCTGTACGAGGTTTAATTCACCGGCATTTGTAATGCAGCTGCAGTGCTTTCAAGCTGGGGCCAGACGAACGCAAACAGCAAGAGCTGTTTGAAGGTGGTGGGCAGGATGACCAAATACTGATGGCGGGTTAGCCAAGGTGCCGCAGGGCTGTGCCAGCGCAGTGATGGTCCTGACATCGTTATCGGAAAGTGGTAAACCAACTGGAGACTAAATTACATACCGTTAATCAAGTTACACCTTGGAGGTGACAGTTATTCAATAAGCAAGGCCCAAATGTCCCAAGCATTATTAACCTCCTACGCTAAAAACCGAGCGAAAAATCATCAACTACCCGCACAACATCGGTGTAGACAGGGGGAAAACATATGACAGTTAGTGTAATTACTGTGTCACGGAATAAAGTTTCTGACTAAGGGGTCAAGAAGGTAGACAATGGTCTGGGGAGGTGGGATTCCTCAACTCCCAGTGCTGCCACTGATGTACTGCAACCATACGCATCTACTTTACCTCTCTACAGCTCAGCGAGATGAATCTTTTAAGGGGTATGTGAGAAAGATTGGTGAATTCTTTAGACTTTTGTAGGGGTTATTATAACTCAGAATAACTACAGTTATAAAGCAGCTGAGGAAATTACACTGCTAGGTACGTTGTTCCTAGTACCAAGAACACAGATTAAGCTGGGCTGTTGTGATTTTTAAGAGAGATGTTGTTCACCTAACAAGAAATCTATCACAGATTTATTACCAAAAAAGCCTTTTTCAGTCCTAATGTGGCCAGGAGGTCCCATATATCTTGTTAAATACAAACTCTGTTATTTCCAGTGAAAATTAGACACCAAACAAATTGAAACTAACATTTTTTACTTAGGTCAAAACAATTCTAAACCAGATGACTTGTAAAGAAATAACTTTTTTGAAGTGAAATAATAACACTTCAGTTATAAACAAAGCAAAAAGTTTGTATAGATGATAGTTCTGGAAAAGCTTGAATATGTAAATTTCACATATTAAACCCAACACTTAAACACAGAGCAACTATTATACCTTTACCAAAAAATCATGAGTCTTGTAGAGTCTTGCAAAGTCTTCTACGGGTTTAAACCAAAGTTTAAAGATACTAATTGAAGTGGAACCTAGGAATCATAAAGGCATTTTCTTCCCAAGTTGCTCTTGCTCTCAGTCACAACATCTACACGACTTTTAGCCTGAACACCCTTGTACACGTTTTCTTGCACTAAGAGGAAGCAAAACTTTGTTTTGAATAATACAAAGTAGGATTTAATGGTTTAAATGTTTTTTCAACACTTTGAGACAGTCAGATCGAACACTGTGTCTGAATTGTGAAATTACAATTTGAATTTAACTTACATACTTGCGTTTTACAAAGAAATTTATCACTGTTTTCCTTAGTGCAACTGAGTTTTCACTTGATAAACTGTACATGTAGGAGGTGGTGTTTCTATTCCTCAGATACTGAAATTGGGTTTTTGAGCTCCACTTCACAATGAAGTCTTGTTGTTTCCTGGGAGGAGTTCATTCAGGTGATTCACATACTATTACAGCTCTGTTCTTTATCAACGTCCTTGGACTATTCTTCTCCAGAAATGAGCAATTGTGGTGGTGACCTCATTCAAGGGAGATGCAAACTGTAAGTGAAAAATGGCCACCACGATGCTGAAAGGCACAGAATATAAAGCGTACTAGGCTTAGCCATCAAAAGTGGGGAGGGATTTCACTGCTTCATAAGTGTGAGGGAAAAATTGAAAGGTAGGAGAGAAGTAAGCTAAAGAGGACAGCACTGGCAAAGGAACAAGCTGATAATAAAGTAGCGCTGAATACATTTAGGCTAGCCTACCAAATAGCAGCAATATGTGGAGGGAGGAGAGAAATCTAACTGATTTTAAGAGAGCAATCATTTCATGAAAAAGATGGCGTGATTGCCTGCAGTAGCAAGCATATTATGCTCTCTTTGTGTAGCAGTCTCCATAAGTAGGACTTTTATGTGAAGTACTCTTGCTGGTCGGGTAATGATAGTCCTACTCAGCCTCTCTTGTTTTATATCTCTTTTTCTGAGCAGTTTCAGCTCTTCTGGCAAAGGTGGTAAGAGCCAACAAGAAAATACCTAACACTTTAGGCAAAGATTTGAAGGCAAGCTCCCATAGCATCCTAAATCTTGGGCTAGCAAATACCAGTATCTTCTTGCAGAATGACTTGAGATATACCCCTTGAAGGCTTCAGATGTTTGCCATGCTTCTGATACAGTGGACAGCCCCCTTTATTAAGTCTCCATGAGCAACTTTTAGCTACCTGCAGATAGCGCCACTCTGACACTGGAAAAGCCTTTTCAGTTTTAAGTCTTTCTTTTCTTTATAGCTATTCTATAGCTGCACGACGGTGTTCTATGAGAACTCCATGCAACTATCAGTTCTTCATTTCATTAGGCCCTACAACATTTTAACTTCAGTATTTACCTCAAGGATTTCCTATGTATTGACTTCCTCAGCTCCTCTAACACTATGAGGTTATTTATTTACTACGAGGCGTTATTTACCTCCTCAGTGATTCTTACTTCCTAAAACAAACAGTATAATATAAACTATTTGACACTTTTTTAAGGCTAGGCTGCAAAGGCACCAAAACTTCCTCCAACTGAAGAAATCTGTTACAGATGTTTTTCACAGCTTGAATCTTATGGAACAGATTCTTCAATACCCATTGTCTCCTTTCAGATTTCCCTATTTTATATGAAATTTACCAGTTTACCTTGATACTGTACTAAGCATTACAATCTTTGCTCAAAGTAGACCTTAACAAGTGACTTGCCATACATCTCATCTTGATGCACAAGCTATATTACACCAGTATCTTTTAAAGGCACAGGCTTCATTTACACTTAAATTCTAGCCTGCACTCTGTGGGGATGTACAAAATTAATTAACAAAGCTCTGTAGTTCATTCAGGAAGTATGCATAATTTCATGTTTTCAAACACAAGAGACAACTTTTTGTGTCTTGAAGAAGAGCCAAATGTTTTATGAAAGGTGGGACTTTGCCATAAACAAAGCATTTGGATCCAGTCTTCCAGTTCTGAGCATTACAGAAGCTCATCAGAAAGAAGCGTCTGAATTTTGTTCATTTTCTGCACTTACTCCTCCACACTTTCAATGCACATGTATTTATAAGGTTTAGGTCATCACATGTACTATTGCACAGAGCTGGTGCCCATGAAAAAAGGTGCCCTGAAACTGTATTAGAACGAAGAGAAGACAGTTTAAAAGATGAAGTGGTTGAACAGGAAACATAAGATCCCCCTTCAGCAACAAATGTGAACATCCATTAAGCTAGCCTAGAAACTGGGCACCATCACAAAGAGGCTGAGGTAACCCAGGACAACACTCTTCTAGACTGAAAAGGATTCACAAAATCAACTAGCAGTTCATTTTTTAATTAAATGAAGATTTACACAAACAAAACGGAACACTTTGGAGAAGTATAGGCACATATTGCCACAGAAGGGTTTCCTACAGTACAGAAAACAGCCACCAATTCTTTACTTTCCCAGCCTGGTTTTTGTGCAGCAAAGGCAAAATCCAATAAAGCCAAACATGAATTATCTGAACTCCTTTTTTCAAACAGAAGAAGGAAATTACTTGCTGCTAAAGATGTTCAGACTAGTCATTTTGTAAATGGTGCTATGAAGCTGATCAGAAGGGAATGTGTGGTAGCATAATTGCCCTATTTCAAAGCATTATCCTGTAATAACAATCTGCAGCATGGCTGTGCTTCAATGAGAGGGAGAGAGCGCTACATCTAGAATGCACCTCAATACATGCACATTCCAGGGAGAAGCACCCTCCTTGTCTGCTAATGCTGGAGGGCAGCCCATTAACCAGCTTGAGCCTTTTAGATCCTAATTTCAGGGCAGAGAGATAGCACTTGCTTCATTGGCTGCAGCTATTTTCTATCTCCAGTTACGACCCTTGTGATTAAGCCCATCTCTGAACCCTCAAATCCTTTTCTGAAATAAAGACCAGCTTCTGTACAACAACATATTAGGACAACGTGTTTTGGCATCAGGCCAAAGGAATGTTTAAGTGTTAGCTTTCCAAAAGCCATCTTACTAACTCAATAAAGAAATCTCTTTGTTTTGTTAAAACAGAAAACATGTTAGACTAGGCTGCAGCTTATTAGAGCTGTAGGCAGAGAATACTTCCCTTCCTCACTGCTGGAATCCATGCCCTTGAGTATTCATTTGTTTGCAACGGCAGAAAGTTGGTCCCGGATCCTTCCTAGACCTTCTAACATAGTGTCCAGGGTTTCTTTACTCAGTTCCACAGTCAGTGCAGAAACAACAGGACTATTTCCACATAAAGCAACATCTTCCTGAATCTGAAAATTGGAATGCAGACATTAGCTGTATGAAAAATTCATTCACGTGTTTTTCCAGTGCCACTACGAAAGTCAGTGTTTAACAGACAGATTAAGAAAAATGCTTTAAATTTGGCATCCAGCTCCATCCTGAAGGACCATGGCACATTTTCTAAGCTGTGTGCCTCACTAGTGAAGCGCGCACCCACTGACAGTGTGCAAGTAAGCATATACTCCCATGACTATGGGGAAATTCTGAAGACTCTCATGGCAGAAAGCCACATCCATGTCAAAAGCATCTTGGCAGATGCCACACAGGATACTTACCCCCCATCCTGCACAACGAAATTAGTTTTTCCTCCTCCTCTGAAACCCACCCATCCCATTTTTGCTGGTTGTGGGGATTCAGAACTCTGTAGAACATAAGCAGTAAGTTTAGCTATACTCCCCGAATGATAGATGTGGCCAGTGAAGGAAGTTATTAGTAACTAGAAGTCATTTCCCAGCTAATGAAGGCAGCTAAGCATGCTCTTGAGGGGCTTAGGATTAAGGGGCAATGACTTTTTATCTTCTTTCTTTCTTTAGAGAACAATGGTGACCAGGAGCAAATACGCTGCCTTCTCACATCCTCATGCAAAGAAAACTCTCTCTTGCAAGAAAAAGAGGGCCTTCCTCAGAGACATCATTCCCAGGCTCTGTGGTATTTCAAGTAATATCTCTGAGAAAGTCTGTTAATTGCCCACCAGGAAACAGGCAAGCACCAGATGCCTGTCTAAACTGTTTTGCACTACCACTGGTAAGTCAGGTGTTGGACTTGATTGTTTTGATCCTGTGTCCTTTACAGCCACTGACATTACCTTTAACTGAAGCAGGCAAGTAGGGACTGCCATTCTGCTGATGCTGTCTGAAGACGTCTTGATGTCCACCCTCCAGTCCATGTCGACCAGCCGAGGTAGGGAGACTGAGGGATTAAAAAAATGGGTCTGTCAGGCCCAGCAGCACATGATGACACCAAACCCTGGAACCTGTGACTACCACCATGTATATGCTTCTCCACTTCTCGCCCTGGGAAGTATACAGTTTTAGTGCTACTACGTGGTTTCACATAATTTTTACCCTGCAATAAGCCAGTCTCTGAAGGGCTCCTCGTGACACTGGAAGGGCATACAGGATTCTGCCATCATCACATGCAAGGATGGTACAGTGCAAGACAAGCACAGGTAAATTCACTTGAACTTGAGGCTTGAACCCTTGACTGCCTGGTGGTAAAGTGCCATTTACCACCAGAATCCAGAAATTTGGAAAATGTTAGTAAGGTAAATTCCTTGTTTAATATATATGTAGAGAAAACAAGTTGTAAGGTGCAGTTTAACGGGGCATACTTAAAGTCATTCCCACTTTTGTACTGTCACATTTGTAAGACTCAGAATGCCTCTGGCACCTTTTTCAACTCCATTTTCTGGTAAGAGCTGAGCTATACTTCCTGTGTTCAAAAGTGCAGCATCCAGTTTCCTGGGAAAACAGTAAATTCTCACTAGAATAAAGTCCACAGTAGGGATATGGAAACCAAGACAAACCCTTTTGGTTTGAAAAGGACATTTGCAGCTAAGGGGCTTAACTGCTCTAACTATGTTAGACTCAATGGCTACAGGGTGTCTGAAGAAATATTGTTCCTGTTTGTCAGCTTGGGATTTTCAAAGTAGTCTGAACAAAATGCGGGACCCGGCCCACAAAAGATCTGTAGGGAGGTGATCATTTATTCTCAGACTCAGTTTAAAATCTCAGCTGTGATGCTTGGTAGGTTTGAGTGTCTTTGCGAAGCGTTATCAAACGTGGTTGTCAGCAGTTATTTGACATCTATTTAAGGGTACCAGAAGGGGACAAGGAGGCAAAGACTAAACCTCTGTTGAGGGTTAAGATAAGAGCTGTCTCAATAGGCAACTGCAGCCTGTCTGGATTCTGCCTATCAGAAGATGCCTAGTTTCCTCCCCAAGGGTTTATCGCTAGCCTTCCTACTGACTCCATAGGCTCAAGTTGCTTCCTAACAATGCTTACAGAAATTTCCCTTTCTATCTGGGGAACGGCTCTCCCTCCTCCTCCTCCTGCTTCTCTGAGCTGAGGTCCAGCGGACAGCGCAGAACTGGCTGCCTTGCTCTTGCTTTTGGAACAAATTCCAGTTCACAGTCTGTCAGGGCCAGCACTTGGCAGCATTTGCAACAACATAAAATGCATCTGTTTAGCCTTGTATGCTAATTTGTAAAAAGTGATTGCTGGTGGCTTGGGAGGGGCAGGAAACCATCCCCATTTTTATGCTAACATAGATCAATCAGTCAGAATGTCTGTTCTTTAAATCACTGCCTTGGTCTCTATGTAACATATGTTAAATATTTCATGAATACAATACTAAAATAATCCATCATTTCCTAGAAGACAATCTCATTCCAACAGGGTTAAACCTCCTCCATTGAGGTCTTGCCATACTGTTTAGCTGCTGGACATTATCTCGTCTGCAGGCAAAGAAAAAGGGCAAAGAGGATCCACGCAGAGCTCAAAGTACTCTGTTATGTATCAGCTCTCATTTGTAAGCCCCTAAGTGCTACAGCTGAAAAGTAAACCTCTTGGGGAGTAAACAAAGTGTTGCAGCTGCATGGAACACCTAGCCAGGATGTAACTCATCGCCCACGATGCTATTGTTAAAGTTTGCATTCCTTAATTACATCACTGTTTAGACAGGTGAGCAAAAACCAGAGTTATGAATGTATGCAGTGTACTTCCTGATGTGTGGAAGAGAAAGAATGTACAGAATTGGCTAGATGTGCAAAGACAAAGTTTTCCCCAATATATGCACATCCTTTACAGTGCGCAGTTATTGAATACGGACATCACTTAATGACCTGAATGGGGAGGTCAGAGTGCTTAACTTCCAAAAGTTTTGCAAATACTTGTTATACACTGTACTCTGCAAGGCAGCAACAGACCCAGCACTAAATGGAATTTCTTGAGGACTGGAAACAACTTAGCACAGATATGAATACAAGCTTGTTAGTCTCTGCTAAGCTCTGTGATGCCACAACCGTACAGCTTCATCGAAGGCGAATGGAGGTATCCCTGTGCTACATTACAAAACCACGTTGCGACACACTATCCTAAGCTCCAGTGACCTCAGGAAACATTAATTGCATCAAGAGACATGAACTACTACTTACTCTGACTTGCTTGTGCTTCATTCCTCCAAGAAGAGCTGTGAAAAAGCGGAGAAGAGAAAACCGGTATCAGCAGTGCTTTGGGGGGAAAAAAA